AGTGTTCAGACTGCAAAGTTGAGTAGAACTGCAGATGGTTGCACCAGCCCACCAAATCGTGAGGATTTATAGAGCCAAAACCCTGCCTGTGAAGTTCTGGAGTGTCGCGAATCTGAAATAATTTCCATCGATGAGTTTTTCCTTTATAAATAGCAGGAAATGCAAACCTTATTGAAGATCGTTATCATTGTTATGGCCAATTTCACGACTTTGGGCTTGGGAAAATTGGCGCTGGAGAAAAATGACCTGATGATGGCCGATAAGTAGGCGACGACAATGACGGACAAGTCCTCTTTATCAGGGAAACTAAACAGGAAAAATTCAAAATTGAAATTTTCTTGTGAAAAACTGGTTGCTTACTCGATGTTGACCAGATGCAGCTTCGACAAGAACCGCTCAGATATTGCCTGAGTGCCCATCAAAGTCCCAATAATCATCACATTTTGAATGTTGATGAATTCCGTCTTGGCGTTGAAGAATCCGTTGTAGCCTATCAGCTAGTGAACATTTTGCATTGATTTTTCAAGTTTCTTCTCTTGAAATAATTCGTTACTCAAAACGTTCAATTTGCGTACGTAAGTTTACAAGCAAACATAAATTTTACATACTAAATTTGTAGTTGTTAAAGTCTGGTGTAATTTAAAATATTATCTGTTGATCAGGCATAAGATTGTTTTTCAATGACTCGTAATGGTCCGTTACCATGAATTTGAGGCCCATCAACAACTTTGCTCAATAATGGAACCAGTTGCCAGGCAACTTTTCAAAGTTTATTGCCGGCGTTTTTGACGGAAACTTCAAAATTGCTTTTTATGTATTTTTTGAACCTTTCATGAAGCTCATCTCTATTATGGACCTGCTCAAAGTACAGCGTTAAAAACCCGCACATCCCCCTGAATAATGCATTGTAAAATTGTAGATTTTTCGAAGGCAGGAACCAGTCGCCAAGGATTTGCTGGCCAAAAAAACTGAGGTGAGCCAATATCGAGAGGTCGTTCAGGAAAAAGACGTTTTGCTGCGCAACTCCAAAGCCCGCATTCTAGAACTGGAAGAACAAGTTGCCGACCTGGACACAAAGTATCGAAAATTGCAAGAAATCCAGGGGAATCCGCAGGACGGGAAGAAGATCATCGAGCAATACGAGACATTTTACTCGAAGATCATGTGCGAAAGCGAGCAAATCCTCGACCAAAAAAAGGGAGCTGAAGCCAAGCTGGAGGAGATGCAAATTTTTTGCGCAGATCTGTTGGAGAAGTTCGAAAAGGCCAAAAGCGTTATCAGGCAGT